CAAAAATGAAATAGTTGAAGAAGAGTCAGATTTATCATGTATTGTTATAAAAGATCCTGTCAAAATAAAATAGCAGACAAGGTATCAGATTGATCATAAATTGTTGATCATACAAAATGAAATAGTTGAAAAGGAGTCATACTAATCGTAAATTCTTGTAACTTATCATACAAAATAAAACCTATTGACCAAAATTATTATTTCAGCACGTGAACTTAACTCTCCTTGAGGTGTTTGGGGTACCCTAAAAATGCTTTTCCTTAATATTTAGAGAGTGGAAAATCAAATTTTCGTGATGATTCCAGGTTCTTTCTGAATATTTCTGTCTAATAGCTACAAGGTGCTTCTAGTTTTAGTCATAATATTAACATAAACTAAAAGCAGTATTATTTGTTTACTAAAATATAATGAAACATATTTTGGGATATTTTAATTTTTTAAATATACAGATGATTTTTAATACTGGCTTTATAATTCGGCTTTTTAGTATAAAAGTATTCTTTTTCGTTTTTATTAATCTCATAAAACTAGAAAGACAAAACATACCAAGAAGATTAAGAAGAAAATAAGATATAATTTTAATAATTTCTCACCAATCAAGGCGATAATGCCACTAGAACGCCAGAAGTTATAGGGAGTGAAATAGGATGAAAAGACTTTAATGATAAAGAAACAGGATTCAGGAAAAACAGAAAACTGTGAACGACATAAGGTTTTTGACGATTGTATGTGAAAGGAAAAGACGAAATCAGGAGTGATTTCCACAGGCGATAAGTGCAAGAAAAGAAACTACTAGAATAGAAGAGATGATTACATCTAGCTAGTTCAACAGAATAACGGTGAGACCTAACTGCCAATCTAGTAGCAGGCTTAAATTTGTGCTGTCAGGGCACTAAGGAGAAGAGCTCATCAGAAAAATGACCATGAAATTGTTTATAGAAAAGGCAGAGGGAAGCCACGTGACGACGGTGAGAAAGTGACTGAAGCCGAGATGCGTGGTCAGGATCGATTACATTGCATATACCTCTTTGGATTTTGTCAAGAACATCGAGATGTTCAGCAGAGCAGATATGGCAGCAGTATTCCATGCACGAACGAATGGGGGATTTATAATTGTGAAAGATGTTTTCTGACGAGCAAAAACTTTTGGCACGACACAGTGAACCAAATATCCTCACAGTAGACAAAAAACAATTGATTCGATAGAGTCAGGCCACTCCATAGTCATTGGAAAACTTGATGCCATGGCGTAGCGTGTTCACTACTCTTTTCTTTCTATGTGCCGTGTCCTTTCAGGACGTAGGTGATCATAGCTCTCCCCCTCCCTCTATCCCTTGCAGTTCTCCCTTCCCTCTTCTACCTCGTCAACTACTTGCTTAAGCCCGATAGCTATGTCATGCGTTGTTTTTCCTTGTCTCTCTTTCCGTCTATTCGACCTGTGAGTATCAGATTCTCCAGGCCTTCCTTTTTCATTATCTGTCCCAGAAACTTCAGCTGTCTCTTCCTGATATTAAGCAGAAACCTCCTCCATGTTTGAATGCTCTCTAAGACATCGTTGCTCACAAGCTCGGTCCATGATATCCTTAGCATTCTTCTGTAGAACCAAATCTCCGTCGGCTCGAGTCTCTTCTTCATCTTTGAGAAAATCGTCCAACATCCGCTGCCGTAAAGAAGGACACGTAACAGATGTCACGTAACAGCTCAGTATTCTTTTCTTTATTACCAAAGACCACCCTTAAAACCATCACAGAAGAGGGAATCTTGGGGTACATATTATGGGAGGTAAGAAGGTGTAGCGTTTTGCTCTCCTTGGCATCAGCTATCATGACGGCAGATAGAAAAAAAGATTCTCTGTGATAATTTATATCGTTCTCATATATATATATATATATATATATATATATATATAGAACAATATTGGTAAAAAATTTATGACAAAGTGGAAAGAGTTTTCTTGTGACGCGTTTCATTCTTTAGAGCTTCATCCGATTAATTTTGCTATGTTGCTACGACTACACATGCGCACAAACGAGAGATGCTCGGAATTTTAAATTATTTTTTTTATCCAGCCGATTTCATTTAGATAAAAGGAATCTATATTAAATCGCTAGGTAAAAAACAAAACAAAAAAAAAACAATTAAACAAATTTAAAATTCCCAGCATCCCTCGTTCACCCGCATGTGTAGTCGCACCAACATGAATTCGAAAGCATATGCGTTTTATCAGAAAGGTTATAAAGCAAATGTAAATTAATTTTATTTAGATATTATTTATAAAAACATAATCACTTTCATGTTCAGCAACTTCATCTCAGCGAAATGGCAAATTTGACATTTTTATCTTAAATTTATTTTATTTAAATTTCTGTCTAAATTTCTAAAATCGATATGCCTGGTTAAGATCGATTAAAATTACAGAGACTACTTTGAAATTTGTCAAGAATCGCGAGATATATAGTAGAAGAACCAAACCAGATATGGTAGCAGCATTCAATGCAAAAACGAGTATTAGATTTATATATAATCATGAAGGATTCTGACGAGAGAAATTGTCTGAGACGACACAGTGAATCAACTTTGCTAGCAGTAGATCTAGCAATTGATTCAATATAATCACTTCACTTTATTTCTGTGGAAAACGTGAGTCCACGAAGTTAGAAAGTGATTAAGAAGACATTAAGTTATAACAAAGAGATTAAGGACAAGATATAACAGGTTTAAAGAAAAGTTAAGATATAACAAGAAGATTAAAAAGGGAATTAGGATATAACAAGAAGAATGAGAAGGAGTTAAGATATAAAATATCATAAAGAATTCAACATATAAGAAGATTCAGAAGAAATTAGGATATAACAAGAAGATTAGGAAGGAATTAAGATATAATAAGATCATGAAGAAATTAACATATAAAAAGATTAAGAAGGTATTATGATATAACAAGAAGATTAAGAATGAATTAAGACATAACAAAAAAGATTAAGAGAAATTAAGGAATTAAGATATAACGAGTAAGAAGGAATTAAAATATAACAAGCGGATTAAGGATTAACACGTAATAAGATTATGAAGAAATTAAGATATGAAAAAAATTTGGATATTTAATAACAAAAGTGATGGAAACAAACAAATGGAACTAAATGAAAAGGAAAAGAAAGGAAGTCGGCTAGCTTATATACGTAAAATATATATTTAAAGAGAAATTTAATGATTTTAAAATTTTCAGCGTCCCCCATCTCCTTCATGCGCATGTGTAGTGTCATCAGCGTAAAAAAATCACTTTAATCCGATGACGTGTTAAAAGATGAAATGCGTCGCACGAAAAGTTTTTTTTTTTCCACTTGCTCAAAGTTTTCCCTAAAATTGCTTTATATATATATATATATATATATATATATATATATATATATATATATATATATATATATAACTTTTCCCACAATATCATATGTTTACGCTCGCTTTGGAAATATAACTAAGAATTAGAAACTGAAATTTTCAAGGTGACTGGAAAAAACACACACACACACACACACACACATATATATATATATATATATATATATATATATATATATATATATTCAAGTCTAGTGTTAACTGTAATCTTCCTCACCTATCCGCATAAAGTGTGTGTTGCTTTATATATATATATATATATATATATATATATATATATATATATATATTTGTGTGTATGCGTATTTAAACGCATGTTGTTAAATATAACAGACAATAAATGCCTCTTATGTCTGATCATGAGCTGTTCTAATGTTCGCATGTTTGCTTTAATTCCGGGTGAAAATAACGACAAAAAGTGTCCTACATTTGGATAATTTTCATTAAGTTGGTCCTTGATCTAAGCTTTCGACTCACATGAGCCATCTTCAGAGTGGTTATACGGACATCTTAATAAAGATATTCACCATCGAAGATAATATTTTCTAATTTCGACATAGAAGATTGCCATACGACGATAACGGTCGCATAGCGATCTTCTATGTCAAAATAACCTCTTCAGGGCGCAGACCTGGACGAAGATGCATGCCGGGCGCCCCCAGACTCGGCCGCACCGTCAAAATCCAAAAGAATACAGGGCATTATATTAGGGAACTGCTTATACGTAATGTATATAATGAATGTATATGTACATTATATATGTTCCAAAGACTGTCACAACCTGGTCTTAAAACTAAAGCATTAGTCTGAAAACTCATTTTCTTAACTAGTCATGTCTGATCAAAACTTTCAGATGGATACCATCCATGGCACTAAACCTGTTCTGAAATATCTAAACTTTCAGCTCTATGCAACTGCTTTCTGGGTCCAATGGTTACAAATGGCTTTGAGCGAATAAAAACTATGTCTCAGCGAAGTCTATCCATATTTAAACCTTGTTTGATTGGCGCTACAGAATCACAACCAAGTTATTGTGCCAAATACTTGAAATGACTTGAAGATTTTCAACAATACATATGACTCAAAGAAAAAAACAATAATGGCATAATCAACATGCTGACATTACACACTACTTTAAATAGAAGGTTAGCAAGGAAACCTCCATCAATACGAGGAAGGGCGATAACAACTAGTGAAATATGTCTTCCTGAAAAAAAATGTTTAAATACAGTGTAACCCGGATATAAGAGAGTTGTGACCGGAGAACTAGTCTCTTATATACGGGTTTGGTCTATTTTATATACATTAACACAGGCTCTAATTTGGGACCAGAGAAAATCTCTCTTATATCCGGGTTTCTCTTATATCCGGGTCTCTTATATCCGGGTTACACTGTAGAAGGATTTTATGAATTTCCTCCGACTTAGGTTACATATTCTATGTAAACAGAAAGTTTCCTTCTAAGGAAACGGTTAATTTTTACCATTAGCATTACTGTTGTTCAATATTAACAGTATAATGAAATATTGTTTAGAGCCACAAAAGATGAAAAGTGGTGGACAGCCATATTCCCCCAAATCCTGAATCGATACAGACCATAAAAGATGTTATTTTTATTCATTTCTTTTTTCGCTTTTATTTCTCCCGTGATTCTCTCTTCCACACTCTTTCTTTCTTTCTTTCTTTCTTTCTTTCTTTCTTTCCTTCTTCTTCTTCTTCTTCTACATTTGATATTATTTACTTATTATGCCGCACTAGTTGTATCTCTTTCGCTTGACATTATTTTTTAATTTCACAGGGACGTTTTTTAACTTTCTCATTCATTAGTTTTCTTTTGTTATTATTATTATTATTAGTAGTAGTATTTGATAGCATGCTTGATAGTTATTTTTACAGTAATCTTGATTAATTTTCCACCATCTCTCTGTCACTTTGCCGACACTTGTAGTTTAATTTTATAGCCTCTACTTTTACTTTTACTTTCACTTTCACTTTCACTTTATCAAGTAAATTAATGAGGATTTTTTCACAAATGTTCTTTTCGCCAATGAAAGTTTAATTTGTTAGCATTTTTCGTGCTTCATTAAATCATTCTTTTATATAGTGTTGTTTCTATTTTTTGCGGTGGTGACTTTACTCCTATTTCTGTCTGTTCTATTTTATTTTCTAATTCAAGAATATTTATTTCACTTTCTGTTTCTTTTCCCTTAACAAAATTCCTTTACTCCATAAACAAGGTCTCCCCGGAAAAGATCAATCAGGAAATGGTAACTTAGTTCCCATTAGAACATTCTGTTTGATTTCTATCGGATCTCACACGCATTCCCCAGCGTCCATTCCACATTTCTAAACAGACTGCAAAAATCCTTTGAATAAAACAACCCAAAATAGTGTGAGCTATATATGGGGGATGTCAAAATCAATCACTCAGAGGAATTTAACCATCTGCATAGTTTAGTAACAGACAACGGAAATATGTGATACAGGATTTGGAAGACCCATAAGAAAGTATGGCAAGCCACTCGCACCCAAGGATGCCTATTTACTAAGGCGGCTAGCTAATCCCTGTTGCAGACGCCTGCTCAGGCACATTTGCGTTTGTCCAACACCCACAGAGATCACCTGAGATTTATACTGCAACTATGCTGAGTGGACCTTAGTTATAGTTTATGGAAGGGAGCGCGTTATCTAACGTGATCAGCAGTCTGAACAAGGCCAGCACGCTCAGAACCTCGGTCACGATGACTTGTGATTTCGTGCTAGTTTGTAATCCCCTATACGACAGTGAATGCTGGACAATATTCTCACATAGTAAAAAGAGACTTGACAGAGATGTAGGCTCTACCAACAGAGGCTGAGATTACCATGGACGGTTCAAGTGAGCAACGAGGAAGTTTTAAGGAAAATCGGAATTTCTGAGACACATAATGAGGAAAGAGGGCTTGAAGAATTTAACACTCGCGGTGTATACTGAAGGCAGATGAAAAAAAAAGCTGTAACGTGTTTAACGATTTTGTCCGAATAGGTAGCAGATCAGGGACGAAGAGGAACGGTAAAAGAAGGACAAATGATTCTTAGAACAATAAAAGACATATTTTATCATTCTCATAATTATTCTTCCTTTCTGACTGTCTGGTTTCATTCATTCGTTCGGTCAATCTTTCTTTTTTATCTATCTTTCTTTCTTTCTTTCTTTTCTTTCTTTCTTTCTTTCTATTTTTCTTTCTTTTTTTTCTTTCTTTTTTTCTTTTCTTTTTCTTCTTTCTTTTCTTTCTTTCTTTCTTTCTATTTTTTTTCTTTCTTTTCTTTCTTCTTTTCTTTCTTTCTTTCTTTTCTTTTCTATCTTCTTTCTTTCTTTTCTTTTTCTTTTCTTTCTTTCTTTTTTCTTTCTTTTCTTTTCTTTTTCTTCTTTCTTTCTTTCTTTCTTTCTTTTCTATTTTTCTTTCTTTCTTTTCTTTAAATCTTCATCTCTTTCCATGTTCTTTCTGCTGATTTTTTTTTGTTGTTTCGTTTTATTCCACTATAGAATACTTCTTTCTTTTTCTGTCTCGTTATACAATACTTTTTCTTCTTTCTTCGATATTGATGCAAAACACTTCTTTCTTTCTTTCTTTCTTTCTTTCTTTTTTCTTTCTTTGTTAAGTCTTCATTCAACTCTATCTCTTTCCATCATTCATTATTTAGTATTTACTATCTATAATTTCTTACTTCCTTTTTTCTTTCGTTCTTTTTTATGCCCCATTATAAAAGACGGGTTTTCTTTCTTCAAAATAGATATACAGCCTCCTTCTTTCTTTCTTTCTTTCTTTCTTTCTTTTTGTTTTATTATATAAGACTTTTCATTTCTTTCTTAGACATAGATATACAGCCTTCTTTATTTATTTATTTCAATCTTCCTTCTTCAATTTTTGCTCTCTAAGATTGCCTTTTTGCTTTCGTTTTATTTCCCTGTAGAACACTTCTTTCTTTCGTCGTTTGTTTGTTTCTTTGTTTGTTTCTCAATTTTTACTCACCATGATTTCTTTCTTTCTTTCTTTCTTTCTTTCTTTCTTTCTTTCTTTCCAGTGTAGTAGAACTCAGCCGTTAAACACTTCTTTCTTTCTTTCTTTTCTTTCTTTCTTTCATTCTTTCTTTCTTTCTTTCCAGTGTTTCTTCACTTCTTTTTTTTCTTTTTCTTTTTCTTTCTTTCCAGTGTAGTAGAACTAACAGCCGTTAAACACTTCTTTCTTTTCTTTTTCTTTCTTTCTTTCTTTCTTTCTTTCTTTCTTTTTTCTTTCCAGTGTAGTAGAACCAACAGCCGTTAAACACTTCTTTTTCTTTCTTTCTTTCTTTCTTTCTTTCTTTCTTTCTTTTCTTTCTTTCTTTCTTTCTTTCCAGTGTAGTAGAACTAACAGCCGTTAAACACTTCTTTCTTTTCTTTTCTTCTTTCTTTCTTTTTTTCTTTCTTTCTTTCTTTCTTTCCAGTGTAGTAGAACTAACAGCCGTTAAACACTTCTTCCTTCCTTTCTTTCTTCTTTCTTTCTTTCTTTCTTTCTTTCTTTCTTTCTTTCTTTCTTTCTTTCCAGTGTAGTAGAACTAACAGCCGTTAAACACTTCTTTCTTTCTTTCTTTCTTTCTTTATGCCCCATTATACAAGACTTTGTTCAACTTTCTTTTAGTCTTCATGTAACTCTATCTCTTTCACGTTTCATTTCTCAGTTTTGCCCTCTGCCTTTCTTTCTATCTCATTATACAAGAATCTTTCTTTCTTAAACATAGATGTACAACCTTTTTTCTTTCTTTCTTTCTTTCTTTCTTTCTTTTAATATTCATTAAACTTTCTCTATCATTCAATTTTTGCTTTCTTTCTTTTTTCTTTCTTTCTTTTTTCTTTCTTTCTTTTTTGTTTTTTCTTTCGCTTTTGTTTTTTATCTTTTACTTTCTTTTTTCTTTCTTTCTTCTTTTTTCATTCCCATTTGCCTCAAATATTTTTCTTTCTTTTGTGTAAGTTTTCATTCTTTTTTTATTTCTTTGTTTCTTTATAGTTCTTTGTTTGTTTCTTTCTTTCTTTCTTTCTTCTTTTTTCTTTCTTTCCCATTGGCTTCAATCAGTTTTTTTTTTTGTTTGTTTCGTTTTTCTTCCTTTTTTTGCTTCTCTGTTTCTTTTTCTTTCTTTCTCTTTCTTCATTTCCTTTTTCTTACTTTCTTTCTTTCTTCTTTTTTCTTTCATTATTTCCCATCGACCTCAAACATTTTTCTTTCTTTTTGTTTGTTTCTTTTCTTTCTTTTTTTCTCTGTTTCTTTTTCTTTCTTTCTTTTTTATTTCTTTTTCATTTGCCTCAAACATTTTCTTTTTCGCTGCATTCCTTTATTTCTCGTTCGTCTCTGAAACTGTTATTCCTTTCATCTCGATTCTTTCTTTTTTTTATTTTCTTTTTCTTTTTCTCTTTTTCATTTTCTCTCACAACAATGTTCTCCCCTTTTTTTATTAATCGTTTCTTCAGTCATTCGCACTCTTTCATTCTGAATCCTCAATATCTTCTTCACGATTCGATTTGTTTAAACTTCTCAATTTCTTTATTTTTAGATTACATTTGATTTAACATTTAAGCAAAAATTATTTAATTATCGCTTACTTTGTATTTATTTCATTCCTTTTTTCTTTCTCTTCCTTTCTCCTCTATTCGCTTCGTTTTACTTTTTAGAATCTTTTTTTTTTTAATTTAAGGCCTTTTTGTTATTCCCCTTCTGCAATAAACCTTTTCTTACCATTCTTTTTATGTCTGTTTTCTTGTTCTCTTTTCTCTACTTAGTTATTCCTCAATGTTCACCTTTATATGCATTATATTTTAATGTTCTTTACTAACTAGATTTCCTGAACCGCTAAGCCTTTAAATTCTTCATCGTATTATTTATAGGGTGCTACATTCAAATGAGACAAAAGTAATCAGCCATATAAAAACAACGTTGAAAACTATTCCAAGAAATACAAAAAATTTCAGAAAAACAGAAAAAAAAATGCGGAGTAAAAAAATATGATACGTTAAAATGAACTCCCTGGAAATAGCGTTAAAATAGCATGCGATTGCGACATAAATATTTAACTCAGTACATCGCTATTTTATTTTTGGGCGAGAATATAAAAAGAATATAAAATAAAAATTAAACACCGAAATGATTTAGAAAGAAAATGTAAAATAAAAACGAATAAAAAAGAAAGGGCGAAATAAAAAAAGAAAAAGGAGCCCCAAAAAATGGAATAAGGAAGAAAATTTCAAATAAAAAATGAAATGTAAAATAAAAATAAAACACGAAATAAAAAGAATGAGAAAGAAAATACAAAATAAAAAGGAATAAAAAAGAAAAATACAAAATGAAAAGGAATAAAAAAGAAAATATACAATAAGGTAGAAAAATACAAAATAAAATACAATAAAAAAGAAAAGAAAAACAAAAAAGAAAATACAAAATAAAAAAGAATAAAAAAGAAAATGCAAAAAACAAAAAAACAAAACAAAAGGAAAATATAGAATAAAATGAAAGTATCTCGATTTCAAGCTTTTGTTGCTATGTAATTTATTTCACACGCATGCGTCAAAAGAAATAAACCCACGTGGAAATTCTAGACAAATCGAAGGAAGATATACGATCAGCAGGAGCGGCAAAAATTTCAAGCCCATTTCAACCAACCACGCGAGATGTTGGATTTTTAAAAATATGACATCGAAGTGAATGCTATTTATAAATAAAATAAATATTAACCGCTTCTTTATAATGTCATACTTCACAGACTTAGTAAGCACCCAGTGGTGTACATAGAAGGGGGTCGATGGTTTGGGGGGGGGGGTCTCCTCCCCGGGTGGCAAGTTTGGGCCTGCGGCATTAAGGTGAATTTGTATAAATAATTAGTATTGATTGTGCAATTTGTTCATCTTCTCGTGCTATAAGATAGATGGGTCTCCGTCTCTCTCTCTCTCTATCTCACTCTCTCTCTCTTGTGGGTGTGCAGGTGGTGTAATGGATATAGATGTGAAATGATAACTCGAAGAGCTGAGTTCGAATTCCAGTCGTTGCATTCACTTACGCTTAAATAATATCATGAATGATATGAATCTATCTTTTCTAAGCTATAGATAAATATCAGAACAGAACTATAGAATTAGTTGTAGATAAATAGCAGAACAGTGTTATAGTCTTAGCTATACATAAACAACAAAACTATAGCCTTAGGTATAGATAAATAGCAGAACAGAACTATAGAATTAGATATAGATAAATATCAGAACAAAACTATAGCTATAGCTGGCAGAACATAACTATAGCCTTAGCTGGCAACCAGTCTAGGAGAAGGATAACTCAAACCAGCTTGGAAAGGGTTGAGCATCGTCAGACTATCCTCGCGAAGGCACACCATTCTTACTGCTATAAATACGGTTCCCCTACGACCCTCAGGAGTTACGGAATTCGGGATCAGGGACACATGCACCTAGGTTTCATAGATTACGCAGAAACATAACGTACGCTAGATCTAATCGAAAACCATGTTAGAATTATTTACATTGTTCGGACCGTTCTCCTCATCTTTGTTGTCATATTCACGAGTTTTCCGTCGTTGTACGCTCCGACCTTCTTCAGGCGATTGGAATTTCGAAACGAACCCTTTATTTCGTCCACCGGGGTTGATTGTTCTAGTTTCACGTGCCATGCCTCTTCAGGATATTTTAGTTGTTTCCCTTTAGTAACCCTACTCGCCAAGTTGTGGCCAGGTATTGAAATCACAACTCCTTTGGGTCAAGTCACTGGATTGCTTCAACCAACGCTTTTAGCCACTGGGGCATGTAACCTTGGGGAAGAGACATGGCACGTGGAACTAGAACAATATACCCTCGTGGATGAAATAAAGGGTTCGAAATTCAAACTGCCTGAAGAAGCTCATAGCTGTCGAAACAATGCAAATAATGTAAATAGTTACAGTACCTCATCTCAAAAATAATAACAGATATTAAAATTAACCAGAAGTTTTACAGGGGATAGACCTTCTGCGGTCAGATCAAAAACGAATTATGTACAGATAAATAGAAAGAGACAAGGGACAAGGATGCATCTTTCTCCCTAGGTGTGAACAGCCTCTATTGCGAGGCTATCATAAAGGATCGAGAAGCCCTAACAGCACTTATTTCGGCTCGTGACAGGCATAATCTTAATATAAAATACACAGGTAACATAACTGTTAATGGCTGGCACAGAAGGTTTGGGTTATTTTGTTTTATGGTATATCAATCTCAATGGCTAATGTAATTGTTGTGGTAGGATCCACCTAATTTGCATAGTGGAGTACCGACCATATAAATATGGTTGGTACCGGGAAGAGAGGGAGGAATCAAGAGATTCAACCAGAGACTCTGCCCGACTCTGACTCAGTCAACACATTCTCCAGGAACGGTCTTACCAGGAATATACAAAAGACTATATGTAAATATTG